ATTTATGACATGTCTGCTATGCGTGATGAATGGCACAGCCAAGCGAATCTTTCCCGTTAGTCTCCCATCAGTTTCTTTAGTGTCCTGATTGCAGTTAATGAAACAGATTTTGTGCCTTGGCTACAGTAGTCAAATGTTTGGCACTCTTTCGTGGTTGTCGATCCAATGGATTCTTTGTAGGTTCTAGTTATCCTCATGAACTTGTATCTGCTCATAGCGATATCAGTGGATTTCCGATTACCGCGTCTGACATTTCTTTCTTTCCTTTGAGATTGGCACCAGCGTTTATGATGTCTTTTGATGATTGTATTATCTCTTCAGTTGAGGTTAGTGATGACCTACAGTTGTATGGATTGGAAGTAATTGCTCTTGAGCTTAGGCTTGTGAATTTGACTTGACCGTTTTTTATTATAATTAATTGACCTTTGTCTTGATTAAGGTCTTGTCAATGGAATTTTCTTTGCATGCGAGCAAGTTTTTATCCTCATCTGGAGAAACCTTTCTGACTGTCAGGTTTCTAATTTCAGTATCAATATTATCATTTATTATTTTTGTTTTGATTGTATATAGGACCCGTTGTTAGATATTTTCTGTGTTCAATATTCTCTTTAGATCATGAGTCTGGAGTGTCAGTTTTCTGAATCTGTATTAAGTGTCCTCAACACTTTCTTTATGAAACTTGTTAACAAATGAACATAAATTGTCCTTAAAACTTATGCATTTTTGTTTTGTTTGAAGTTGTGATTACATTTAAAGAAGTTAATGAAGTAGTTATAAGACTGTTAATTTTGTTCTTACTTCATTTAAGATGTCATCCAGTGGGATACCTGTGTAATTGATTTTTTCGATTTAATATAGTCATTTACTTCTGATGATATATTGCTCTGGGGTTATAGCTTCAGTTGGTTTAATCAAATTCAGATTTATTCCTTATTGAAATGATATATGAATGTTTATCTGATAATCTTCATTCTGAGGATGATGAGGTTCGTCTATTATATTCATCCTTTGCAAATAATTTAAAATGTCGTTTATAATTTCAAATTCTTCGGAAGATATAGGTAATCAGGTATTTTCGTGGAGTTCATCGTTTCTATTATTAGTACTTCAGGATAAGCATTTGTTATAACATTGACTATTGATCTATTCGGTGAAACTTGTTTAGTATGTTCATTACCTTCGCACTTATAACTGGTACCTTATGTGATTTTTACTAGTTGTTTGAATGTGATGTTCTTCCTATTTTATCGATCACGACAGTGATTTTCTGTGGGCTTGCTTGAAGTTTTCTTTGTAAATTCCTTAGTGATGAGTGTAGATTCAAAGCCGTTGTCAATAGGAAGGCGAGCTTGATACATAGTTGATTGTGATTTTACTGTAATCATTACGGTGTCCAGCAAGGTCGTTGTTTGTCTTCTCTTGGCCGAGTTGTAGTTTCCGATCTAGTCATCTGGTGTGTAATCATGAGCTAGCGTCTTCGGATGTAGGCTCCTTTCATCGTGTAATAGAGTATGTTGTGTCCTGTTGCTGTCCATGCAGCCTTTCTTGCTGAGGCATGGCTTGACAAGTGTTTTCCAAGACAGTTTATACGTGGCTATAGTTTTTGCCCAACGGCTTTTTGTTCGTTAATGGAGAGTTTTTTTTTTAATTGGTCGCACATCCGTAACTTGTGATTTTCATTGCAGTAGACACATAGGAGGTGAAATTGAGTGAATTTTCAATGTTTTCTTCCCTTCTTATTCGCCGTTGATGGCTGACTTATTCTTACGAATTTCTTATCGGATGTGTTGGGTTGAGATTGAGTTTGTTGTTCTCTCATTTCAGTAACGTTGTCTAGTGCCGCTACTTGAGACAGTATGAATGAGTTCAGTTGGGCGAGCCCTGGGTATGTAGTGATGCTCGCCAGTGATCGTTCCCATGTCGTTCTTGTTTGGTCCTTGACGTGCATTAAGGCTACACTCACTGTCATAGAGTTCCCTGCATTTGGGATATCATATTGCATTGGTGCCTCCAAGTCTTCTAAAGATTTAGGAATAGGTGTATCGAATAGACAAGCCATTTCTCGTGGCTCTGCTGCATGTGCCTTCTCTTCAGGCTTGGTAGTTTTGCTTGATTGTGTCGATTCGCCTAATTCCCGACACAGCCTTCTGACATTCACTTTTGCAATGGCATAGCATATGAATACTTTGCAACTGCACTCTTTGTAAAGTATTCATGGTTGACACCTGTTGCTGGTCAGGTGATATCTAAATACGCGTGTTCTTTAGCAAAGGCTTTGTGAATTTCCTCTGCTACTGAGTAGGAGTCCGAAAGTTTTTCTACTGTGACGTTGGGTCCCGGTGTGGCATATTGTTCAGCGAGGGTCTGCAATAGATCAATGCGCTTAAAATGCGTTTTTATTTTCATTTAAAATTCATTGTTTATTTGTGGTGATGTGGCGCTGCGAAGAGTTCTAGCTCTCGTTGATTTGGTGGCCTTTGGTGTCTTGGTGCCCTTGACATTCATTGTGACCCCCAAGTGTTATGTTAATGTATTGTTTTCTTTGGTATCTGGCAAACCCGATTTTTGTAAGTTCGCCGATGTTTGAATGTGCGTGATGAGCCGCCGCTATAAGATGAGCCATCGCTATGCGTGATGAGCCACGGATATGCGAGATGAGCCTACTGCAGTCGTAGTATGCGTGAGAGCTGCCTCTTTCGTATCGAAGCTTTTTTTCTATTGAGAATCGTATTTTGCTGCCTTAATCGTCAGTGTGATCCGTTAATATGTGTAGTATGATTTTGATATTTTGACTCTTGATTTATGTTAGCACTAACGCGTTATTAGTTTTAATTTTAGTTAACGGATTCTGATAATGTGGCGTCATTATTGGCTTGATATGAATCTGCTATCTGGCGATAAGATAATCTGGCTCGAAGGACCAAATGTTCGATATTTAACGTTTTGTTTTTATGGCTCGAACTGCCATTTCATTAGTTCAGTGGATTAATCTCTCGCCATAGCGATTAGGAAGAAAGAAGGCACAAAGGGATGTTAAGTATAATGTAATATATTTGAGTTAGATTTATTATATTTATATTTATTTTGCTGTTGGTTATTTCTATTGAGATAGAGAATTATTCTATTGTAGTAGTGTGAATTCTTTCTTGTGTTCTTGATTATTTGAGATTTTAATTGCAGTTCGCGCTGGCGCAAGTGACACTGATGTGAGATGCACTAATTAAGAATAATACTACATGTCTTATTCATAACATAATTATATAGAATACGAATTATATAGAATTACAATGAGCACTAAACTGAATTTATCGTAGAAAAATACTGTGGAACGGATGTAGTATCTGACTAGATGTTAAACGTATAGTGTGTGATGACTGTAGAGAGAAGTTTGAAGATTAAATAGTGCGCCCGTTATAATGACTGCGTAATTGTTACTAGACTAAACTGAGTCAAAGACTGACTGTTGCGCGTGAAGCGCAGCCCTTAAATATTATAGCACTAATCCTTAAACGCCGATGTTTTGTGGCTATGACGATATTTGTCGTGACGTCAATATGGCATAGCCTGGAAGGTTCGTTGGCTATTGTTTATTAAAAACTGAATCGTGCGCTCATACATCTCCCACTTTGTATTCCGCTTTTCAACTATTTCAATCCGTAACAACTACTAATAATTTATCAAGTATAATACTTATAATAGCTGCAATAATCAATCTTATATCAATAAATGTATTGCTAATACAGTATTATTAGATTATATTATGAATAAATTATCATAAAAATTATCATGAATATAACTTTGTTTTTTTAATCTATATATGTATATATATATATATATATATATAAATAATATACTGTAATGCTAAAATTATACTGTACATAAAGAAGTTTAGATTTCGATGTCATATATGAAACTTTTTATTCGACTAAAAATTTATATATAGTGTATAAACATATGTAATTTACTTCAATCCATTAAAATAAATATACAAAATTTTCTTATATGATTTGAATGAATAACAAAGAATTTGTATAATTATAAAATATTTATTTTATTATATTAAATAATGAATATATATTCATTATTAATAATATTTTTATCAATACATCAAGATAAATTCTTAAAAAATTTTTTAAAAGTATAGATCTTTTTTACATTTCATGAATTTCCCTTTTACCATAAATTGATATTTACGCCATTATATATTAAATGTCATTATTATTACCAAAATTATTTAATATTTTGATTTATTTAATTTATAAAATATATAAACTAATGTATATGTTCTATAGTTTACTTAAATTGAAAATTTATTACTATTTTATTAATGAATAAACATGTATTTTTCTTTTTGAAAACATTCCCAAGTGATACCATTTAACAAGAAATTAAATAACAGAATATTTAGAGTCCGTTATTAAGTAGATAAAATGCTTTTAATTCAGTTTAAAAAAAATCTAAATATATATACTACAAAAATTGATAGGTATTTACAAATTAAATATGCAAATAATATAAATTCGTAAATATTTGAAATTTTAAAAAATGTTTATAATTTAAATAAATTATATAATGAATGAATAATTACTAATTATTCATATTATATGTCTAATTATTTTAAGTTATGATCTATTTTCAAATATTTAAAAAATTATATCCTTACAATAATTTCGAAAAAACTGATTGTATTGATCCTTACTTCCTTCACGTATATTTCATTCAATTAAAATGAAAATGAAACTTAGTTTTGTAATGTTCAAACATATGCGAATCTGTTTTTCTTAAAAGCTGAGTGAAAACGTTTCAGAAATCTTAAGAAGGAATACACTTTAATAGCGATTAAATTATATAAAATGTATACAAATATTTTAAATATTTCTTAAAAATTATATTAATAATTATTTATATTAAATTTGCAATTAGAAATTATTAATTTAATGTTATCTTGCAGTTAAAAATTAAAGTACTTCATGCAATTTGTATAGAAAATACATGTGAAAATCAAAATGAGTTTAACAAAGATTAATATTTCCCTGATAGCAAAAGTGCCAACAATAAATATACGCAATTATCATCAACGGCAAAAGCATCTGCAATATTGTATAAACAATCAATCTATGTGAGAATGGTTGAAAACTTACGCTCCCGAGGATTCTTATCTGGAACAATGCGTCATCATATATCACACGTCCATGTTAATTTCGATCCAGAAGCACCACCAACCTGTAGAACTACTATGTTGCTTAATGCTACTCCGGATCTTATGCAATCTTATATTACAAACCAACAGATAACTTTAATAGAGAAGCCCGAGATAGACAAAAAAGTTAAGGTAAGCTATCTTTTCAATTATAAGGTTGGTTTTTGTACTATTGTTTATTTTGACTTACATCTTTTTAGATGAAATAGTTTACTTTCTTAATTTAATTTTTAATTTACTAAAAAATTAAATATTAAGTATTATATAAAAAAAAGCTTGAACACGATAATTGAATACTTCCATTGAATTATCATCCATTGAATGTATATCATTTATACCTTATTATTCATAACGAGAGATATTATTTCAATTATTAATTCGTGAAAATCACTTACTTTACTTTCTTAATTAAGTTATATAATAATTATTAAATTTAACTATTATATTTATTATAAATAAACCAACGATAAAAAAACTGGCTTTCATTAGAGATTTATAAAATTTAAACATTATTTAAGATATATTAATTTAATTTAACAATATGAGTGTATTAGAACTTACAAAAATCGAAAGAAAATAAAAAACATAAATGTATTTTTAAAAAATGTTAAATAATTCACATTAATTTACGATATATATAGTTATTAGATTTGACGCTATATATATATATATAACGTAATATATATTACAAATATAATTTAGAAAATTCTATTTAAAAAAGTTTAATTTTTTAAATTGCATTAATAAACTCGTTTGTATAATTTGTAACTATTTTTTTCTAACAATTTTTAAAAAATTCATATATTTTAGTTTTTCCCTTTTTATAAAAGAGAATTCATAAATTGACAATCGATTACATTTTATAATGTTGATAATTTTCTTTATCTAAATAAATTAATTTTTAATTTGCATTCTTAAATAAGAATTTTTAAATAACTATAAAAATTATGATTTAATTTTATAATATGTATTATTTGTATCTAAATGAAATTTATAATTTTAATTTACTTCGACTTTAGCTTTCTTTATATTTTGGTTACGATTGAGTTAAGGATTATAATCGCAGATAATCCTTTTAAATATCTTAAATTATTGGAATTTTTCTTTAATTTTATTATGTTTTCTCGATTTTTAATACAATGCCTCTTGACACATATTCCATCTATTCGGTCTTTTTCCTTTTCATGCTTAATATTGTCTCCCCTTTTCTGTATATATTTGTTCTTATTTATCTGTTTATAAAAAATCGATTCTTGTGTATAAATTCATTGTTGTATACTTATTGTGAGTATCTCCTACAATAATCCTAATAATGAAACAACTCCATTTCATTATAATATTAATTTACCTTTTTTTTTAAAAAATTGTATAAAAATAAACTGATTTAATTTTGTTAATTAAAAATGCATATACTTATTGTGGATTTTGGATTAAAGTTAATTAAATTGATAAATAATTTGTATTTTTTTCTGTAATCATAAATAATATCTTTTTACTAAAAGTCTGAAGAAAATATATCAATATTTAGCAATTATCATGTATAATATAATTATTTTTAATATTGGTCTATGTACAGTACCTTCTTCATTTATTCGATACATTAGTAGTGTAATTTACATTACAAAAATTACTATTTATATCTCAATATTAGGCGTATCATTGAATTAACATTTGCTATTTATTCTTTTTTTTTACAATCATTACATTTCTTAGGAGAAATAACTTATTTAATTAAATTTAACTATTCCATTCTATCAATGCTTGAGTACTTATATAATTTTTTCATCTTTTTGTTTCTATACATTTTTTTTATTTACATATTAATATATTATTAAATGAAATTATCTAAAATGTATCACTACGTCCCAATTGTATCTCTAAATTTGAATGTTTTCATCAATATGATTGTTCAGAATTAGAATATAGCGACCAGTTTACTGGTGGGAGAAACGTTAGGGTAACTGGGAAGGGTAGAGCTTCAATTCAGTATTTAACACATTTGCATTTCGTGCTTGGTATTTCGTTTATTTTACAAATAATGTTTTACAATATAATGATTATACGTTGATGATGAGAATCTCTGAGATCTTGCCGTTTCTTGGTTGTTGCCACGTGGTGTTAGCATTCACTACTTGTTGAGGTAGGACGTCGTAAGTCTCTTGACAATCTTCATGTAATGCCACGTGGTGGTAACTTGATTGCTGATCTCCTCCAAGCTGTCTTGTAGTGTGGAAGGATGAGGAGGGCCGTAGCGTAGCGTCTCTGTTCCTTGAAGTATACTCGATACTGAATCCTTGGGAACTCTACCCAGAGAAAAATGACTACAGCACCTTGAGCTGCTATGCGGTGGCATACGTCACACTTCCTTTCTTCTTCTTGATTCTTCCTTGAGGACTTCGGCTTGAGTGTACGTTCGTCCTTCGCGGCGTCCCTCGTAAAGGAGAGGACTTCTAGTGAAAGAGTTTGTGTTGGGGTCACTTTCTTACATGCATTTCGCTGACCACAACGTCCAAGCAAGGAACGCTTGCCTCCCTAGCGTCTCCAATCAAAGAACATCTTGCTTCAGCGGCTCTACCGGGAGTGTGTGCATTTTCACTAATATTGGAAAGGCTTCCGACCGCTTCCTTGACTCGGCTTGGCCGAATGAGTCTTGACTGACTGACTCATGACTCAGTAGCTGTTTGACTGAATAATTTACAATGAGCATCTAGGCGTAGGGCGTTTCCCTTAAATATTCGCGCTGCAGCTTACTTAGCTGGCAACAAAGCATCGGTATTACTTACTGGAATCTTGCATGAGGCGCAAAAGAAAACTCTAGGAGTTTCGAGAACTCCAAGAAAAAACAAGGCTTATGAAATTTGAAGAATTCACAATGACGTTACTATACCAAGGCCATATAAACATTGTAGGACATTTGAAACCAAAACATAACAAATACTCGAAAATCTTCTTACATAACTGTTTACAGAAACTTGAGGGCTAGAGGGACTAGCAATTCCCAGAGCCAACGGTCTTGGTAGTTGCTTCAATCTCAAACAATATCAATATTATTTAAATGCAGTATTTTTTGTGAAAACATTGTACATCTGTAAAGAATATAATTAAATATACAGTAATCACTGTATTCTAAAGATTTATATAAATTAATAATTTAATAATAATTTCAATTTTTTAAATAATTTTTTAATTTAATAAATACATATTATGAAATCATTGTTGTTCATTAATATAAAAAATTTATGTTGATAAAATTAAAAAAAAATTTTAATTGCAATATTTTAAATTTGGTGATATATACAAAATATATTTCCGTAATTTAATTTTTTTGCACCATTAAAACTAGATATATAGAGAAATTTTATTAAAAAAATTAATATTCTTTACTATATAAGCATTTTTAGTATATATTAATGTTCGAAATTCCATTTACCCGGTGATCGAAAGACCAAAATAGTTGAATGAAACCATGTCCACCATTTTACTGGTGGAAAAGTATGAATAAATGGAGAGGTTAATGCTTTAATTCAGTAATCAATACATTTGTTTCTCGTGTTGTTTATTGCGTTTTAATTTAAAAATACACAATTATTTGGTAATTACGTTGGTGGTGAAAATCGTTGAGATTTTACCGTTCCTTGGTGATTTTCCACGTGGATGTAGCATGCACTGCAAGTCTTCGTTGGAGATTGTAAATCTCCAGGACCTTTTGGTGAAGTATGCTTGGTCGAAGGTTATTTCATTGAGAAGTAAGATCGTAAATCTGTGGACATTTGTTGTGTATGCCACGGATTGGTGTTTTAATTGCAAGTGTTGTCTTGATATCTGGAAGCATGAAAAAATACTTCAATATCTCAATGTGCCTTGGTGGTGCGTGCTATGGCACTTATCGAGATATAGCGTGCAATGGCGTCTTGGAGCAGATGTAGCACAGAAGTTATGGCGCCTTGATTGAGAATGCAGTAATAGAAGTAGTGACATTTTGATGCTGATGCGGTTCAGAAGTTGTGGCGTCTTGATGCAGATGTAGCACAGAAGTTGTGGCGTCTTGATGCAAATGTATCACAAAAGTGGTGTACACAAAGAAATACCAGAGATTTACCACCTCTTACTTTCAGTGTAATCATTTAACACCAAGCACAATATGTCAACAGGATCCGGAGATTTATGACCTCCAACTTCTGCGGGTAGTGCATACTAATGCCACGTGGAAACTACCACGGAACTGCAAGGTCTCAACCATTCTCATCACAAACTTAGAATCATTATTGTGTAGTTTGAAAAGTAACAAGCAATAAACAGCACGAAAAGCAAATGTATGTAATTATTGAATAAATGCGCTATCCCTTCCATTTGTCCACAATCCTCTCACCAAACATCTGGGAGCTTAGTCTAATTCTAGACAATTAATAGTGACAGCGTGCTCGCTCGGAGATGGCTAAAGTAAGACTTCAGCGGCATCCCCGGTAAGAGAGCGAGCGAGCCTTGACTTGTCGCGTGCTTACTTTATATCCACGCGACGGTTTTGTTAGCTAGCAACAATGGATAGGTGTTGCTATGCAGAGATTTGTACAGCTAGAAAGATTATAAAATTGCGAGAACCAAAGTTCTTGGAAAGTGTTCCAATCCTGAACAATTACTATTTAAACATTTAATTAATAAAATCAACTGCATGCACGTATATATTTCAAAATTGAATAAAATTTAAAAATTATTTCATATAATTATATAACTATTAACAATACAAGTATTGTATACTAATTAACAATGAATTCTGGAAAATTTTATAACAAGGTAAATAAAATACATTTAAACATAACTAATATATATTATGTATATTGTACGAATTAATATTCATAATGGATTTTTCAGTTTTTAATATCTCTTATGCTATTTCTCTAAATGAACTAAAGATTGATAATATAAATCAATTCTTTTAATTATATTTTAGACCTTAAATTAAAAATCTAAATTTTTAATTAATATTATTCATAGCAAGAAATATAAATTATAAAAATACTAAGATAAGTACTTAGAATATTTTTATTTTCATTAAAGTCTATTCATTCTATGAAATCGTTATCTTAAAAAAATATATGTAATTATTTATAATATCTTAAAATTATTTTATTAAATTTAAAAGTAGTTAATTAATAATCGAATAATTTTAGTTAATAATATAAAAATTTGACAAATTATTAAAGAATATCTATAATTTATATAAACATATGTAAATATTGATTGTCATATAGAAACTCCAAAAATAATAATCGATATCTATCTTAACTATTTTTCATAAAATCGTAATTTTTTTTAAAGTGTTTTAATTATAAATTTTTTTTAAATTTTATTTTGTATAATATTTAGTTTTAATTACATTTGGAAAAATATGTGGATATTGTTAAATTATTACATAAATAATTTATTAGTAGCTGTTACGGATAGAGACAGTTGAAAGCGGAATACAAAGTGGGAGAGGTATGAGCGCGTAAACATTTGTTTATAAACACTAGCCAACGAACTCGAAGAATGCTTCTACACCAAAACTCGAATGTACGACTATAATACCGAAAAGTAATAACAATGAACCCTACAAAGCTATGCTCTATTGACGTCACGACAAATATCGGCATAGCAACAGCCACCGATGCGATATCGGCGCCGCAAGTTCATACGAGAATATTTAAGGAGCTGCACTTGCCGCGCTTTTCCTCTTACTAGTTTGACCGTGCACTCTTCAATACAGGCTCACCATTCGACTACAACGGCTCCAGCCAACTCACATAAGCTACGCCACGGCGCCCGT